TTGAAGCCTGGTACATCCTGGAAGCACACTGACATCGTCAACTTACGGCTTCATGTGTCAGCAAAACACAACTAGATTGTCCCTTCAGTGGAAATGATGTAACCTCATGCAAATTAACTGATGATTCTGTACATGCTGGGAGGGTTATTGGGAGTTACTAACCTGAATCAAAATACGTATGTATGTGAAACTAGGAAAGGGAAAGCAGGGAAGACTCCATCTTCTGGGATCAGTTGATGGGCTGAACCAGTCTTCTCCCCATAGGGACACCTACTGATCTTATATTGATCTTATACACACTCAGTAACTTACTCATGCCAGCTGTTACTAGTGATTAGAGCCTGGTAGTGTATCACTTCAAGCTTGTTTTCGCAGAGTCCCTATCACTGGCAATCTGAACTTTATCCTGTCACAAACTTGTATTTTATCAAACTTGCCTGAGCCAGTGCAGAAGGCAGCGTGCAGACAAGCAATGTATGACAGAGACATGATGAGAAAATCCCCTATGCAAACTCCTCTTGATCCAGCATAGTTTTAACTGCTACTCCTGGTTTAATGACTTTAGCTTCACTAGTGATGTTTTTCCAATATGTCGATGACCAATGAAAGTTAATTACTGATGAAAAAAACAATACCCAATTTCACAGCACAAATTCATGCCAATGCACTACTCCTGCTTAGTCTCCAACACAAGCAATAAAACAAAAAACCCATCACAGTAAATGAGATTATCCTTAAATTTTTCTTATCATCACACTCAAGGAGGTGCATATGAATATATATTCTGAATCATCTTGAACATGCTGCACAGTTACAACTGTACTGTTCACCTTTTATTAAAAAAAAAACCAAAAAATATGTCTTCCTCCTCCTTCCCACTCCCAAATCCCACAACGTAAGTCAAACTGAAAAGAAAAACGCAAAATGAAGAGAAAGGAAATAATTTATTAGAAATTTCACAAGTAAACTAACATTCATTTGTCTTGTAAATCTTGTGGCATCTTAAAGATAACTGGATCTTTACGATGAGAAAATTTATACTCTCCCTTAAACACTTTAGAAATGCTACTACGCACAGTTCAAAAGTCCTGAAGATTACACTGATTCTTCTCCCAGCTTGGTAATACTTGAAAGAGATGGAACACAAAACGGACCTGGAACATCACAAAGGCATGTTAAAAGTAAGAATGAGCAGGAAAATAGTAGTGTTATGCTTTCTTTTAGCAACTAAATTGAAAACTGCTTAGTATTTAAAAAAGCGTTGAGTGCCTGAAAAAAATCCAACTTAATAGATACAGGCTGTATTAATTTTATAGTACAGTAAATTAAACAATAATGTAATAAGAAACCCACAAGAAAATATAAGTCACTGGCAACAACACTACCTCAGTGCAGAGAAGAATTAAAAAAATAAAAAACAAAAAGGTCAAAGGTAGCAGTGATTAATAGCCAATTAATATTTCCATTCTAAATACTTCATTGTGAGATGTTGTTAGATTTTCTTCTCTATTCAAAAACGAAAAAGTAAAGAATGTACAAACTAAGTCAACTACAGATTGTTTCTCGTATCAGGACAACAGTAATCATCAAATGACCTAAAATACTGTTCAACCCTCTCATATGATTAAGAATCGCTCTGCAGCATTTTTAGCCAATATATTATTATCATATTTGAAGAAAAACAAGACAACATCCTCAGTGTGAGCTCAGCACAGCTCCACATACATTAGTGGAACATTAGATCATACAAGCTAACCAACTGGGACCAAATTAGCAAGATATATGACCTTTGAGGTCAAAGGTGGAGGCCACCTTTTTAAACTAAGAACCTCTATTGTATTTATTCACTCAAGACAGACAACTCAGTGATTTTTCTTTTTCCCCTGAGAAAGTGCCCTTTGCTTTTAAAGTTACCGGATTAGTTCAGGCACTAAAACATGTTAACTCCCCACACCTACTCTGTACCAAAACGAAGATGTAGTTGAGTGCTAGAGGAAACATTGTACAAAAAAAGGATACAACAAGAAAGGATACACTCTGCATGACAGTATTACTGCAGTATTTACGCAGGAATGTTTCTAAAGAAGAACAGCAGAATGTGGTTTAATTTTACTTGATTCTCAGTAATGCATACACATAACTTTATGCTACCTATCAAAAGCAAGTATGTGTGTCTGATAAAATACAATTTTGACCCCTTATGAGATTTAATGAGGGCTGATGAGTCCAGAGGGCTGATGAGTCCATCAACACTAAACTCCATAATCAAAAGTAAATACATTTTTTTGATAACTCAAGCTACTAGGACAACACCAGATTTTTCTGCCTCATTAATTCTCCTTCAATGGTCTTTGCCATTTTACAGACTCACTTTTTCCATCAGATCCAAAACCCAACCACGTTTCCATTCAATGAAGGCTTTCAAGTCACTTCTTCCCTGTGAAGAAGCTGGAAACCTCTCAACACCAGTTTCTTCTACAAAACCCTTCTCCCCAGAAACTGTATTTTAGCTACAGAAAATATAGCCACCCCAAGTAATAACTGAAATTTTTGCCAGTCTGTCAAGAAAAAGACATTTTTAGCCAATAAGGAGTTACATAGTATTTTTATAAACCATAAGTATTACTTTATCTACAAAGTATAAAACCTTTGTAGAGAAAATATGAAAAAAAAAAAAATTACATGAACATTTGTAAACTTAACACAGCTTCTTCCTGTTTAAAAATAACCAAAAGTTAAAAACAATGCCCCTCCCCACCCATGATACAGATCAAATCTGAAGCCCCTTAAATGTTTGTATAAACTTGTTTATATGCATATTCATGTTTCAAATGAGATTCTGACACTGTTCTTCCTTGCAGATGCAGATTTCTGTCATGGAATTTTATATCAAAAATCAGCATGCATCAGAATATTCCAGCAGGAACAGGAAAACAGAGTCATGTAGAAATAGGGTTCAATTTCATCATTAGTTGGGAAGTGAAATAGTATCTTTAATTAAACCCCATGGATCCCTAGAAATCTGTATTAGTCCATGGTGCATTCTGTGATCTTTTTATATAAATGGTCAAAGTAAAGAAGTTCTGCCCTTGATACATTAAACCACTGACACCAGGGTAACTCATGTAAAAATTCCAGGTGCACAAACAAGTCTTGCATAAGTATGTGTTTGCTCACTCTAAAAAAAGCTTATGAGTTGATGATCAACATGATTGATAACCTATTACTCTGTTATTTTCTTTATGTAATTAAAGTATTACTTAGCATGTTCAAAGTCAGAATTGGATTTAAAGTACAAAATTAGTTGGAAAGATACAGAATTCCTAAAAGAATAAAAATGTCCAGACTTCGTTTGTAAGGCTTTCCAATAGCTAAAATACTTCAAGCTGCTTCTTGCATTTAAAGAAGCCTTAGCAATTTAGTGGGGTTTTTTATTAGACACTGGATAAAATAACAGAAATACAAGTGGCTTTTCCTAACAAGGAAGGAGAAAGAAACAAGACTGAAACACTCCCATAAACACTTGTTTCTAATAGAACATATTAGCCAAGGCTCATTCGTCTCTTTTCAATGACCAGTACAGAAGAACACCTGTAAAAAAGGTGATCTTTAATTTGACAAAATACAGATTTTGCAAACCACAAATCAGTAATTCAAAATAGGAACTGGTGAGACCAAACAGCATCTCAGAAATGAGCAAGACAAGCTCAACTATAATCTGATAAAAAGTATCCTTAGACAACTGACAGAACAAGAAACCTGCAACTGAAGTAACTGTTGGAAATACTACTCTCACAATAACCATACTGTGGGGTGTCCAACCAATTTTTAAAAATCAAAACCAGCTGTTCACATTCTTTATTTCAAACTTCAGGGTTTTGGTTTCTTCCACCCCCCAAAGTTACAACAATGAAAACATCCAGATTAAAACAAATCACAGATTAAGTGGAATGTTTCAGAAGCATTCAGCCTAAGCTTTGAGTTCATTTAGTCTTAGGTGGAAGAACCTGAGTGATACCTAACAGTAATCTGTAAGGAAGTTAAATCTCCTTTAAATTTGAGGTAAGTGATCTATGACAAAGTGCAGATTGAGAAATGAATGCTTCTAATTTTTGCACCAGTTACTTCACATGCCAATTTGAGACTGTTCACTACTCAAATATTTTCAGGGTATGAAACCCCTGAAAGTGAAATTAGAACCTATTTTACTTGAGTTATACAAAGCTAATATTTAGAGTAAGCAAAAGTAAAGTAAAGCTATATGGCAGGAAATAAAGTTAAATAGTAATTACTTTCTGCTAAAAGTTAGTTTCCCATTAAGTTTAGACAATAATGCAAAAAAATCAGGACCTATGCATTTCACAATAAAGGAAGACTTGATTAATGCAACATTAAGTAGCACTTTGTGACACAATACCCTTTCCTAAATCAGACAAGTTTAAAGGATGTGGCAAGAGCACCAAGATTTCATTTCCCAAAATTATCAAAGCCAAAGGTTCTTTACAGAGCTAGCAGAAGAAAGTTTATTGCTGGAAAAGTTCTTCAGCATCACTTTACAATGCTGGGGACAGAAGGGAAGGAGAGAAGAGGCCACTCTCTTCTAAGCCAAAACCCCAGATGATTACTGAAAGATAAATTGTCCAATTTCACAGAATTATTCTCCTTAGCTCCCCTTAGATTAAGAGTTAAAGAAACTGACAACTGTTCTTGAATATGAGGATTAGGGAAATGGCAGTTTACGAGTTTCTAAACAGAATAAGGAGCAGCATTTTAAACTCACACCAACTATATACCTTGCATTCTGCTTTTCTACTAGAAGTGCACATTTAAGAGAATGAAATTGTATGGAACACTTCCCCTCCACGTTACTATTCCTAGAGAGCCACTAAAAAGATACTAAATAAAACCAAAAAACCCCAAACAAAACAAATGAACAAATAAAACCCAGCCTATTTCTTTATTTTTGTTTTCAGGAAGGAATCCATACCTTGTGGAGTGTTCTACTTTTTTCTTTTCCCTTCACTGGCATCCTGTTTTGGTCTAGCTGAACGAGCAAATTGCTGAAATTCTGTTAAGGACTAAAAGTGTCACTGATAAACAGAAGTGAACCAAGAAGCAAAACAGAAGTATCATTTCAGCAACAGATAGTTTAAAAAGTGGCCTTTATCTGTGAACCAGTTCTAGTACAGAATATTGTAACAAGAGTGTTTATTAATTAAAGATTAGGACCTCACCGATTTGCAGTACAAGAAAATTTTAAAAAAGCCTGTCCAAGAGTTTACAATACTAAGTAAATAAGAAGGACTAATCAGGAATGGGTTAGGTGCAAACAGAATGATTATAGCAGGATAAGTACTTGGTATTTACAGTCCCCCATCCTGACATGTTCATTTCATAACTTTGATGTTTCAGTAGGTATTTGGGAGGGAAAAAGGTAAAAGGAAGAGAGGTTGAGGTGAATACTAGTACACAGAAAGTAAACAAACTATGAAACATTTAGGTGAACAGTAAGAAAGGACTTGCAGACAAAAAAAACCAGGGCAATACAAGTGTTGAAATCCCAAACTGTTTCACAGGCTCAAAAAACAACTGACAGATCCAGTTGCAGAAGCAGTCTAAATAGAGACTACTGACCCTAATAGGAGCATTCTTTATATTCCTAATTCTATAAGCAAGTCAAAAAGCTTACTTAATTAACATACAATCATCATGCAAGCTAAATTATCTTTTGTATTGTGTTTGCAGGATCAAAGAGCTAAGATCAAAAAAAGACGATTTTAATTGTCTTAAATAAACTAGAGCTACTTTCCTATTTCAGAAGGGGTGCCCCAATGTATTTTTTGGTTATAAAAAAATTAACAATTGTATGCTATGCTGCCTGGTTTTCTTAAGGTATTTCCTCTTTCCACAGACTTCTAATAAGTGGAACACTATGAGAACAAAACTAGAGATGGACAGATAAGACTACAAAGAATATAATGTAAATATCTGAAGAAAAAGATACAACCACCATGGGTTTTTCAAATAAGACATATCCATTTGCTTCGTTTAAAGCTTTAGTAGCTGCTTTTTCATTAGGCAGTCCAATGAAAGCCTGTCCCTTCATACGGCCTTCTTTCATCAAACGTATATCAAACCTAGAAGCAAAATTGAGAATTGGGACTCACTCATGTTTAACCACACTTTCACATTTTGCAGTACAAATATAATCTTCATGCTTCAAGATGGAGAAACAGCAGAAATGGAAGCAGAGCCTACAAGCAGGGATTATATTACTAGGGACCATTTTGCTTGGAGGATCCATTCAGGAAAAAGTGACATTAGTCTGCAGGATGGCAAACTGAAGTGCAATTGTAGTAAATATGGCATATGCAAAATGATCATACACACAATCATTTCCACTGTTTATTCTGTGTCTCTAAGCCCATAACCAGTAAAATTTGGTAATGAAAACTTAGGGGAAAAATAGTACTGTCTTAGAATCATGGAACTGTTAGGTCTGGAAAGGACCTTAAGATCATCTAGTTCCAACCCCCCCACCATAGGCTGGAACAAAGTATCTTCAGGCACTGTTCAAGCAGAAAAATTCTGTTTATGCAGAATCATAAAGAAAAAAAGTAGATATTAGGTTTTAAAACCCAATTTTCACCAGTATTATAGAAGTTAATGTAAAAGGCTTAATTTTAACCAAGCACCAAATTAACTTACATATTTCGTTCCACTTCTGACTGGAAGTCAACGTATCTTCCAAATATAAACTTGAGATCCTGGAATTAAAGGGTAGGTATAAGAGGGAAGCTGACAAAAAGCCTTTCTGATCAACACTTAGATTTGCTGGTTCACCTACCTTTTCTTGAACTTGTTTAGCTAAATTCTTCACATATATCCTGCAATTTGGATCACCCGGCTCATAGTTTTTGAAAACTGAAAATTTTTCCATTTCTGAAAAAGAGACAATGTTTTAGCTCATTTACTTACTTTCTATTTTTGCTAAGTATAAAATAACTACATTTAACATATAAATTTAGTATGATACTTATTTAAACTATTTGTTGCAACAAATGAAAGAGCTATCATGAAATAATTTATTCTCACAGTTGTACCTTCGCTAGACAGTCTGTTTTTTTCTAGATCCCTTCTAGAAATAAATTCTGATGGTATTTCATCCTCCTCCTCTTCAGTTTCCATTTTATCATTCGAACTAGGAGCTGGGAAAATCCTTCCAAAGCCTGTATTATTGATTTCTTCTGTGGTTGAATAAAGGTCTGAAATTTCAGCACATTATATGGAAGTGATTTGTATGTTTATACACAAGAGGATCAACAGTAAGCAAAAAACATACACCTTTCAATAATATTTTCATGTAGTAGACTTTGTAAAGCAATTTGAAAACACCCTGGAAGAAATGTGTCTTAATCCCTGGTTTGACAAACACGCTTGCTCTATACAGTGTCCTATAAAATCAACTGTACTACATATAAAGCCATAGCACATGCCAGTTAAGATGAAACTACTCTTGCTGTTCCAAGCCTGTATCCATTTCAATGGTTTACCTAAAAAAACTGTATATTATTCTGTGTATTACTGTAAAGTACAAGAAACACAGACTGACCATAACCCTGTAAGAAACCACCACACCTCATTGCTATTATTGCCCAGCATTGTCATAGCAGATAATTAGTGCACCATAGACGAGTTGGCAACCACTTGAATGCTGCTTTCTAAGAGCTGGAAAAGGAAAATCTGAAATTAGCTCCATACATTCAACTACACTATGTAATAATGAAAATGCATTTACGAAATATTTGCTAAAAACACCTTACCATTTAAAAGAGTACAATTTACCATCAGCCCACAGATCACAAAGGAGAGAAAGAGATCTTTAAAATCCTCTAGATCCTTTACGGTGCCAAAGCACAAAGTTCTGTGCTTCAACATGGAAAAAACAGCAAATGAGAAAAGACACAAGTTGGCATTCTGAAACAAACCATTATGTATACTGTTATGAGAAATCCAGTATAGAAGAAAAGAATTCCCTGGCCTAAATTTCAGCAGCCTTCTACACACTGAAACCACATGAATTTAATATTAAATACATTTGAAGTACAAACTCTCTTACCATTATTTTTTTCTGAGTTTATCTGAAGAACAGCTGGGATGTCAGTATTAATATGGAACTCAATTTTTTTATGACCTACATGCTGTGGCTGCTCAAAGACATCTGAAGGTGACAGTGCAGGGTGCAAACTACTGTTTAAATAAAAAAAAAAACATGTTAAAGATTCAGCCACTGATGACTGCATAGTCAAATACAAGATTTCTTCCAGATAGATTTTAAGCTGCTGTTTACCACAAATACATCAATTCTCCATTTCATAAATATTATCCAATACCATTCAAGATGATTAACACACCACAAACGCAGAAAGTATGGCTGGCAGTGCAAGCAAAACCAAGAATTGCATACCACATTACAGTATACACAGGCATTTATGAAAAACTTGGTCATCTCTACATAGAAATAGTACACTGGTGCCTACTGTGCCACAGTGCTGCAGTTTCAAAACCCAAACTTGTTCTAAAGCAAATCAATTTTATTCTTTAAGTATCACCCTTTTGGCATTTTAAAATTTTTATTTTGAGAAGTATCCTAAACAATAAATCCAGATTGCTTATGTCATGGCTGTGATACGAAATTGGTTTTCTTTTTTATGAAAAAGGGATTTTTGTTAGCTTGATAGCAAGAGAAACACAGACCACTTTACAGATTAAGGCTGTTGAGGAGACTTACAGTTTAAATTACACAAAAATGTGGACCTTTACAGCAATAAAACCAAGCGTGGAGATAAGAGATCACCTCCACTATCAAACTTACATATCAGTGAAGGCTTGTTTTGAAACAGCAATACTAAAGCAAACATGATACAGAGAATCTCATTTAGTAAAAGAATGATCTTCTGAAAAAGTGCAAAACCCACAAACCTGTGAGGAGCACACACGGGAACATTCAGTAAGTCTTTAATTCTTTGTTTTTTTCTAACACCACGTCTCTTTGTGCTTATTGGTCTTTTAGGCTGAAGGGCTGCTAATTCCATCAACTTGGTCATTCTATTTTAAACAAAATTTTAAAAAGAACCCAAGTGGTTTACATTTAATTTGAAAATACTCATTTTGAAAACCCTTCCCCCTTCCTTAAAGCCCCCAAAATACAGATTTTCAGTTATAAATCTAGCTACCTTAAGGCCAAAACTACATTAATAAACTAACACATAACAAACTAATATACACAGAGTACTTAACTCATTATGATGAGTTCAGTGATGCCACTTCCTTTCCCAAGAATGCATCTAATTAGGACAGTGAAGCTGTAGAAATGCTAAGAAGCCCCAAGCTGAACCTTTTTTAATAGCACTATTTTCACTCAACAGGAGTGCCTTCTTCCAAATGCATGTATTTTTCTGAACATAGCACAGGGACTTTGATTTACTTTTCAGTATAAAAACAAAGAAAGAAAATTGCTTCTTCATTTCATATTAAAGACTAATAAAAAAAAACAAACAAAACCAACACTACGATGAAATTCAGTTCCAAAACTCTAAGAGAATCCTCAGCACACACAATCTCCCATAATTATTACTTCTAGCAACACACACTGATATGCAAAGAACATTTTATAAGTCAGAGTGCACATACAATTCAGTAGTACTGAGCAGTTTACTCAATAAAGCTGTAAAGAACCCAGAAAGCAATCTAATGGTTGCTTCCTTATATCTATACTCTTCACTACAAGTTTTTGTTTTGTTGGGGTTGTTTTTTTTTGTTTTGGACATGTGCATAAATGATAATTTGCATACCATTTGGCCATTTTCCTTCTCTTACGGTGATTCAAAAGCACTGTCCTTTTTAAATCACTCTGGAGCTTCCTTAAGCATCTGGAAAGATTATCTATACTGCAAACATTAACAGATTCCACCATTTGCTGAACTAGAAGCTAGAAAAGTAAAACTACCACTTGAAAAGAGCCCAACAGCTAGCAAATGACTGTAAAATGCATACCTCTCCTTTTCCTCCTCATTATCACTTTCATATTCTGATTCATCTCCACTAGATGGCTGCTCTTCCTCTTCAGGCAAAGGAGGCTCTTCAGGAGGAAGAGGTGGGATTGGGGGAGGTGGCACAGGTGCTGGTAAATACTCTTCATACTAATTATGGGGAAAAAGTTTTGTTGTGTTTTTGGTTTTGTTTTCTTAATTTTTTTAAAGTAACTAAACATTTTAAGAAAAAAAATTGCATATCTTGTTTTCCTTTACATAATAAAAAGAGTCAAAGCAATAAATGAGAATATGACAAGAAGCCTTTTTTCATATATGTTTATAGGCATCTCGATGCTACTTTGTTAAACTTAATAATGAATTAATAATGAAAAATTTCCACAAGAAAAAAGATTAATAAATTGCTGCTTTCTGAAGCATAGCAGTGCAGGTTTACTTTTTTTAATTTGAGGAGTTAAAAAAACCCCACAACTATAGCCCTGGGTTTTTACTTTGCAATCAGCTTTAAGGACTTTCCCTGAGAAGAATATGGTTAAAACATATGGGAGGAGGCCTAAGCTCCCAAGCCATCTCAGTTTCTACATTGAATCTTCTACCACCTATCAAAGTTACATTCCTGTTTCTGTAAGGAGTGAGGATTTCATGAAAGGAATGAGTTTTTTCACCAAGACTGCAAAACCACCCGTAAGGAATTCCCTATGTACAAAATCATCTCCATTTCAAAAATCCTACTACATTTAATAGGTACTTTATATACCATTAGTTCCATAAGGCACTGATGTCTTCTGGCATTGGAAATACTCTGTGCCCTTTAGAAACTGCTCTAGGAATTCTGAGGACTGGATTCTCTCTTTACCACCCTTTTTTACATGACCATTAAATTCATAGTGCTTAATCTGGGCCAATATCAGGTAATGAATAAAACTATTCCCAGAAAAATCAGTGTTAATTCACTTGATAGATTTATTTCATAGTTTTCTTCATCATCTAGCTCCCCCGTTAGCAGGAGTTCTGTTAGGGCAAACACAAAGCATAGCGGAGCACAACTTCACTATATCCAAATACTGTAGCTATCACTACTAATACAAGTCCTCACTTGCAGAATTTTCCACTGGCAATCAGTAAAACTATCACAGCAACACATCACTGAGACCACAGAGCTGGTATTTCTAGTCCCCTTCAGAAACAGCTTCCCCCTAAGCCTCTGCCAGTTTCCCTCAATCCTGTCTCTTTCAAAAAACATCCTGGAGACCAATCAAGTTAAATCCAGAAGTGCTTCATCATCTCACTATCAATCTGAATCTAATCAGAAGTCCAAAGAAACACACAAATCCAAGAACTTAACACATCTTTGTAAGGCAATGTGCTAATGGTTTTCTTTATTTCCTGTATTTGTAACATGATGCTATAACCTCCTTTTTTCTTTTAATATACTCAACAGTTTGAAATATTCCAGTGCTGTCACACATGTGTATTTCTTTGCTCTATGTATAGTTTAAAAAGATTTCTTTAGAGGACTAATATGAAAATCTTACCCAATGAAATGAAGCAATATTTGCTATCCTCTAGAGATTTCTCCAACCTAAGTTTCGACCTAGATCTCCTACCAAACATTTTAAATTGTGAATCCGTTTCACAGTACTTAAAATGTGTATTAAAAATGTTACCATGGGAGGACGAGCAGTAATTGGTCCAAAAGGTGGAGGAAGATTCATTTTATTCATAAGATGAAGTACCTGAAACAATGCAAGACAAGGAAGATTTCCTTATAATTAAGAAAGAAATGAAAACAGTTCCCTGCTAGGTATCTAAGGTGGTAACTTCTGGCAGGTGTAAATCAGCATAATTTTAATGAAGATACAATTACATTGGTTATTAAACAATGTGAAAGCCTGCACATGAGATCCAACACTAATGGCAAACATGAGCAACATCCTAAAAAGACTAACCAAAAAAAGTAAAGTATCTTCTCAGAATGAAATTCCATGTACTCAGGTCACATCTAATTAAGAAGATCATATACAGTTAAGTCATCAGCATCAATGTAATAAGTTACTTCTGGTCAGTGAATTCTTATTATCTCAGCATAGTAAAAAATTAACATTGGTTAACATCAAAGGAAAACTAAATATTTACTATGACAAAAATTATTTCTGCGGGTAATTAAGAGGAAAACTGAGATGGTTTTATGTTTATACTTTCTATTTTTTTGCCTTTTGTACTTACCTGGACATAAAATTTGGGCACGCTTGCTAAGGCATTTGCTATATTTGCTAGAATTGTACTTGAAGGTGGTGGATACAAATATTTGAGGCAAGAATTGATGGGAAAGCTGAGGCTGAGGAAAGAAAAACAAACAAACAAAAAAACCCCACAGAAACAAAACCGAAGACATCTTAGCACCACTGTCACATAATGACTGATAACAATTAATAACTAATAACGACTAGAGGTTTAATTATTTATTACATCTGAATTTCCCTTAGAACAGTTTTGGACCACTTCCATTGTGTCTTTAACATCAGGAAGCAGTCCCCTAATGCATGACAGATTTACTGGGCTTGGGCACAATGAAAGTACCAACACATGCAGAAAGCCTGAAGTACACAGAAACAATCAATACGTCCAAAACCAAAAGCATAGTATCACATGCTATACAAACATCATAAACTCAATGCTCAAAGTGCTGGATATATCAGCCCAAAAATAAATTTATTCTTTACTAGTACAAAAATGCAAATGGGAGAAAAAAGAACAAGAAACCTCTGTAAAAGTAAGTCAATAGTATTCTGCTGTTAACACTGGGACAACCTACGAGTCCTCAAACTCTTTCTACAAAAGCAATGCATAGCGCTAGAAGGCTATTATGCAGTCCACAACGTCACCTTTCAAAGCACCAGTCACTACGGCCTCTAAACTTGAAGAATTAAAATTTCTTCTTTATGACAATTCCTACAGCTATGCATGTAAAACAGTAGCATTCTATGAAAGAAAATGAGTGCAGCATGCTGCATTCTTTTTCAACAGTGCAAAACACTTATTTCAAAATACACTGTAACAGAATAAGATAATGAAGACCAAAAACACCCCACTAACCCATGTTCAGGTGCAATTCCATTCTCTATTTTAACACAGCTTGTTTCTTTTTTCTCTTCTTCTTTCACTTGTTCTTCTGAACTAAAAATTAATTTAGCGTTAATTAAATGGCAAAATGTAAGTGCATTACATAATATAGGAAATACATTTTTGAGTAAATGAAATTAAACAAAAAAAAACCAGATTAGTATTTTTAACATCTTTTATCAATGCATTACTACAGCCATTTTAGTTCTTAAGAATTAATACATGAGGATAAATAAAGCAACCAGACTTCTAAAAGAAATATTTATGCAGATTTAAGTTATTCTCCCAAAATTCAAACACTTCTGACTAATCAGGCAAAAGAACTAAAATTATTTCATGTTATTCTTTGTGCAGAGCCTGTATAAAATCAAAGGTATTACATTATTGGTTTGTTCATAGTCAGAGAGTGGAATAAGTGACCTAAAACCTCCATATCTGATTTTAATTAAGCACTATCACATAGCTTCTATCACTTAGTTGTGTATTACACAGGCAAACGTGAAAGCCTAACTATGCAACTTTTTTTTTTTAATTAAGTACTTAAAAGACAACTGAAACCCAAACTATCATGACTCTAAGTCACACTAGCATTACAATTCATTGATCTTTTTATTCTTATTTTTAAATATTACATATTCTTTAACTATTTGAAAATAGGCAATTTTATGTTTGTTCTTCTCATGGTTCAAGCTAGATACATAGAAATCAGCTCCAGCTTAGAAGGCCGTGGCTATAATATTTCAGTCTTAGATGGTTATCCTAGCAGGTGTCAATTCTGCTCGAAACAGAAAGAAATATCAGGCAAGCACTGTTTAAGAGCAGAAGAAAACTATAATCCTGACAAAGAAAAAAAAAAAAGACAAAGAATCATTTTGAAACACAGGGAACCCGTGCAACTCAGAGGTCAGCTTACAGAGACTGGAGCCTTGCTCTGCAAATGAAAGCAAACAGGACCATCCGCTGCATAAAGTTATTAATAACTGTAGGAATAAGGATGGGAATTATTTCATGATGATACAGAACAAAACTGTACTAATGGGAGAAATGCAGTCACTTATCTATAGAACTGAACCTGCCTGTTAACACTTCTAAATGGTTACAATTTATCCTTTGACTTAATCGTACTAGGAAAGTATCATGAACAAGGCATTTCTTTTCCCTAGCCACAAGCATAAAAACTAAATTATTATGCACATACCTTTTACACTTCTCTGAGACAGAAGGCTGGTTAAGTACCTGCACACTATCTTGCTCCTTTGCAAATTCAACAACTAAGGTGTGACCTAGAAGTTTCAGCTGATGCAGTCTTGACAAAGCCTTCAAATAATTATAATAGAGAAAAGAAAGAAAGGGAAGAGGAAAAACATCAGAATTATTTCAAAGCATAACTGTGTTTTCTTTGGTTGGTAAACCATCCACAGGACGCAGCCCAAACTGCTTTAAGCTAAGCCTGTGCCAATACAGACCCAGTTCCACATTCCTGACTTCACAACCCTGTTTTTATCAACCTTTTCCCTGCTAGCAGGACAGAAGAAGATGGAAGTTGCACAGCTAGAACCATTGCAGAGACTTAGGTCAGTACTTAAGTACTGTCTGAATACAGTAGCGAGACTGCAGCCTTAATGATACTTGTCACACAGCCTAGTAAATCTCTGTGATCTCAAGTAACCAACCACTTGCTTTGAACTACAAACATGCTGAACTCCACTAATAATAGCTGGGAATTTAAAGATTCTTAACAGTGACACTAGGAAGCTCCACCATTGTGCATGTCCAGAAGCTGACAGGCTGCTATCAATTGGAAAAAAGCAACCTAGAGTCACCACTGTTCATCTCACTTAATCTTTGAAACTTTTTTGAGTGGCACTTTGCAGTACGGCCTAAAAATTAAAAGCAACACCAAAAGGACACAAGGCATAAGAGGGAAATTCAGGACACAGACTGTTTACCAGATTCTTATTTAAAAAGAATTATTAGTATTACCTTTTAAGACATCCATGCCCCCCATTATCATGGTAGTTTTCTTTTTCTTATCAAAGTTGGGCATTGAAGGCAGTCTTGAATTGTGTACATCACTATGTCTAAATTTTATGGCAAATATACAATTACGGAGGAGACAAGTTAGGCTTGATTTATAGTTTATATGTAAATGCACACACACCCTAGACAAAGGCCCTGATCTGTCTCGAGTCATGTAAGTTTGCCACGCTCTCAGTGATAGATGGGATCAGATGACTTCCATGAGCTCCTTCCAACCTGCCTTTCTTATGACTCTACAGAAGCAATCACTCCATCAATGCACTTCCTGAAACAGAACTCTAATAGTACACTGCCCTGCATTTTATTTTCCGCAACACCAAGTGCTAGATGATGTGTAAAACCTTCTAGAGCACAACTAGCAATTCAGAAAAGTGCTTTGCTAGAACATTTAATAACAAAATTAATACAAACCTTCACAGCTGCATTTTCACTGGGGAAAGTAGCAAAAGCAGTATGTTTCTAGAAAACAAAACAAAAAAATTCAATTCAAATCAAAGAGGTAAGAAAGTGCATGTAAAACATATACCCACAAGTAATTAGAAGTTTAAGCTTATGAATTAGAAAGCTTCCATATAATAACCATCTAACTCCCATGTGAGTCAAAGGTGGAGGACTAGAGAAAGTTTTTCTTAAGAATTTAGGACAAGCAAAAACTCCTGTACTCTAAAATTAAGACAGGAACTCAGCAATTTGAGGAATACAAGAAAACAGGAGTTTGGAGGGGGGTTGTTTTGGGTTTGTTTGGTTTAGCAAAAGCTATCCTAAACTGCAAGAAAATACATATTGATAAAGAAGTTGAATCCTCTTTTCAAAAAAGAGTTATTTCAGCACCTCTCAGCAGAACATTTTCATCAAACCAGCTCCCAAAAATAATATTTTCCCCTTACAAAAATTATAGCTACTGTTGTACTCTGACAGTTTACATAACGTTTTCCCTTATTTTTTAAGTTTAAAAAAATCAAAGCTTTCCAACTTAGACTGAATCTTCACAGAACACACAGTTCACCTCCAATTTGTTTTAACAAACATCATTACTTCATCTTGGTGCTACATGATTCGCTATTAAAAACTTAAACCATTAGCACTGTTCTAAGAGCATCTATCAGGAAAACCATTGTAATGAAGTTAATATTTTTAATACTCTACAAGAAAAAGCATAACGTTGACACAAGATGCAGACATCATTTACCTGCAGGTCTGCAGGAATACAAGGTTCTTTCCAAACACCATTCATCATCAAACATACTCCCATGTTTTCGTAATTTCGAGGGAGAAAAAAATAAAGGAATATTTCAAAGCAGACCCGTGAAACTGCATCCGTGCACCTACCAGCAGACCCTTTCGCGCTGCTTTTCCACAGCCTTATTCCTAACAATAAGGCAGGCCAAAACTGAGGCAGCCGGATACAGAACTTGCAGCCGGCGAGGAGACGGGACCCCCGGCTCAGACGCTCTCCCGACCGCACCGCCCTAAACCCCGGCGCTTACCAGCCGCCCGTGGTCCGACAGGACGCGCACAGACACCGCCCCGAAGTGCTTCAGCAGATCCTCCTTCTCCGCCGCGCTCAGCTCGGCGGGCAGGTGCCGCACCA